CAACTGAGCCGTAAAACCAGCCGTCAGGACTTCTGGAACTTTGTGATGTCACAATAAAGCAGTCACCACTCTCAGCCATGCTCCATCCGTATTCTATTTACTGTGTAACAGTTTCTTTTTCAGCTTCCAAATCTAAAGAAAAGAGACAGGAAAGAGGAAAGACAGGATGACAGTATGTGAGCAGCATTATTATGACAACAAAGGAAAATGATTTTATGATGAAATCCTTCTCATAAATCCTCAAACACAACTTATTTTCCCACATAATGATCATCATATTAAAAAAATACAGCATGGAGTCTGTCCTGGATGCTGGATTTGGTGACCACAGGAGCTTTCCTCTAGCGCCACCATCAGGCCTTTTCATTTCCATTTAGTTTTCCAGTTGTACAGCTGCTTATTTTCTAGTTGGTGTATAAACTTATTCTTTTGTTTATATATTATCCTATAAATAATAATGCTCATTTAATTTAACTGAAGAGGTTCATGTATATTGAAGTTATATCTATTCTAAAGTTAAAGTTATTCTTTCTTATTATAATATATCTATTAAATTCTACCATTGAAATTACATTTAATGTGTAAAATGGCCTTTAGCACATTTCTCATTGAGGGTCTCAGTGTTGCATTAGTGCAGAATGTTGCCTACAGTTTTGATGGGGCCCAAAATGGCGGCTCCCCTGGTTTCTTTATTCAACACAACTGTGACCTCACCCCTATTTCTCTGCTCTCTTTATGAATGAAAACAGATCCATCCATTTCAAACGATGCCCACTTACTTCCATTACGTTGGCGTGGATGTTCAGCGATACCTCCACCAGAGGGCAGCTCAGAGGTAAATGTTTCTGACAAAAACAAATACGGTGATGGTGGACGATGTCAGTGTCGGTGCTCGATCTGGGTCCGCCATCTTGGACATAAGCTACATACGGCATCAAACAATGGACAAACAACACTGCCCGATTTGCGTTGCAAAATATAAGCAAACACAAAAGAACAATTAAAAGTTTAACATATGTTATGCACATTTATTTAATTATTTATTTTTATTATAAAGTAACACCTGAATCTTTTAAAGGTCTTAAAGCTTTTGTGATTGTTGTTGCCTTGAAACAGAGTCAAAGAGATGTAGTTCAATACAAACAGATATTAGTTGTGTTGTGAACACTCCAGATTTATGGATGTGATATTTGCTGAGAAGGACTGATACGTTTGAGAGCATTGTTGGTATTGTTGCAGTTCAGAAACAGAGCGTTTCTTCTAATGTTGGTGCCAGTTTGTTGAAGCTTGTTGAAGAGCATACTGGAAATATCTACTTTTAATTTACTTGGAGCAGCAGTTTGTTCTCTTAAGGGGCACATTGTGACACCGGCCTGAGGGCATTAAGCAAATCCACTGGACAGAACACGGTCCGACTGGTTGATCTTTGTCCCATCATTGTTGTGTTTCGAGGCGACACTGCCTCATGATTTACAGTGAAGCTGATCAATTTCATCCCCGTCCATAAGGTCTCAGAAAGCGTGCACAAAGGGTGCGCCTGCATACGTTTCTGATGTTGAGCATAAATGAGCCATAACCCAGTGCACATCTGACTGGTAGCTATTTTGTCTGTGTTCTGCATCAAGTTGTGACAGGAAGTCAGAAACTGTCAGTTAGAACTGCTGATGAGGCTCTTAGTTGGATGAGATCAATAGTTTTCCTCCTGTTACTGGTATTCCCCTGGTGACAGTGACAGCCAGTGTTCCCAAGTGTATATGAATCTGGTCACTGGGCCAAAGATCATTTTGATTTTAAACTAACTTATGAGCAATATAAATGAAGGTGTCGGGGCAAAGCCAGCATGGCCCACTGCAGAAGTTTGGACACCTCATACACAATGTGTAACGCATGCAGAGAAAGTAATCTGATTACTCTCTGACTGAGTGAGTCAGCCCTCGGTGCTTCCTGCTGTGTCAGTCTGTCTGGACGTCACACTCTGTGCTCAGGCTTCATTACGTTTGGAGCAGATTCTTCCAGAAAGCCTGCTGACATGTTTCAGTCCGTCTGCTCACAGCTCCATCCACCTCCATCCACCTCCATCCACCACGTCACTGCAGATTGATGCTTCACCTTATTTTATAGTAGTGCTATTGATTCGCACTGTGCTTGTCAGTGGTGCATAAAATTAACACTGTGTTAAAGGGGCATGGATTTCTGTCAGCCGTTGACAAGATAACCCATTATTGGACAACTGCTTCTAATTTGTTTTTGTTTATTCAGAAGTATAAAGTAACATTCAGCCAACCCCAATAATAAGTCTATTACTGGCAAATCCTCGTCGCTGCATTGACTCCCACTAATCTTTGCTGCTCCTAATTACACGAGGATTCTCAGCCTTAATTAACCAATCTTTACCCCATTTCACCTGCTTAATGCTGCACTCAACCAAACTGCATTAGTTCAACTGTGTGCGTTTGCTGAATTGGACTTTTCAGTTTCCTACTTTTTAAAGAAGGCAAACGTCTTCGTTTTTCATCATCGTGTTTTATTGTATTTGGAAAGAGAAACTCTGATGATCAGGGGTTTGTAACTCTGTGTGTTCATGTCTCAGCAGTGTCTGATGTTCACACTGGGAGAACCAGAACCAGAGAACCACATTCAACTGGCATCTGACAATCAATGGAAAATGTATTAAATAGCAGAATTAGTAGACTTTTGAGAATATAAGAAAAATAAAAACCCAAATAATAAATAAAAAAAATCAAGGTTGTCACATTGTAAATAACCCACATTATGAGCCCAGATAGTTGCAGTCATTTTAGTTTAATTATCTTTAGATTAAATCACATATATTATATCATATATTAATATATAATCTTGTCTGTATGTGCAGTTTTAATGAAAATAGTTGCCAACACTGCTTCTGAGATTTCATTGCAAATCATCCATTGGTTGTTTAAGGGGCAGGAGCCACAGGGGCCCCCTAACAGCCCCGAGCCTGCCTTACCTGTTCACAAGCTGCACCTCTGTGTTATGATGAAAATGACACAGGGGTCCTCTAATGCAGTGGTTCTCAAGGTGGGGTCTGGGAATCCCCAGGGGTCTTTGAGGGGGTTCCTGGGGGTCCCCTGCAAATATAATTATAATAATACTGTTAAATAACAAGTCTAATATCCTGCCTCACCTCCAGCTGTCATTCAATTAACCACACCCAGGAAGTAATAAAACCCCACCTTTCTGTCTGCAAATCCCTTTCCCTCCACACTACTGAGAACACAGAACCACTATGAGTTGAAGAATGGACTTTTTTAACTTTATGTTCTATGTTTATTTGGTTTATTTTGGTTTATAGGATCATTTTATCGTTGCATGGCCTTTGAATGTTTATTTGTATAATGTTTCAATAGATTCCTATGTTTAATACCCTGAAAATAAAGGAAGAGATAGTGGATGTATAAATGAAATAAGTGGAAGTAATGTCAGCTTGATTTACTTTGTTTATTACTTTATTTATCATCTATTGTTAGTGCTGACATTTTGTCATTTGTCTTTATGTATTTTAATATCTCGTGTACAGAAAAAAATCATCCATCTATTCATCCATTAACTGTCAATCTATGGATCTTTAATTGTGGCAAATAAAATTGCTGGAATGGATCCTGTGTTTAAATGTGCACTCCACATCAGATGTTCAGGAAGCCAACACCACCACCTACAATGTAGTTTTTCTATACTCTAATTCCATCCAGAATGTATCAATATATTAGGTCAGGGGTTCTGTCATGTTTTCACATCAAGGATCCTAAACTGACAAAAATTAGACCACAGACCCCCATCTGATAAGATTTCACTTTTAGATGTTTTATTGCAAAAGGTGTTTAAACCAATGACCACAACAGTCACACACACTCTGTCTTTGTGTTACTTACAGAGGTGGACAAAGTTACATTACAGTATAGATCCTCCAATACAAGGGAAAGTTGTTCAGTCAGAGTTTTACTTGAGTTAAAGTACTGGAGTACTTGATTTTAAAATACTTCAGTGACTGACTGACTGACTGACTGACTGACTGATTGACTGACTGACTGACTGACTGACTGACTGACTGGCTGGCTGACTGACTGATTGACTGAGTGACTGACTGACTGACTGACTGACTGACCAAACGACCGACCGGCCAGCTGACTGACTGAATGACTGACTGACTGACTGACTGACTGACTGACTGACTGACTGTAGAACCTGTAGAATAACGAGCTTGTAGAACATGATAAAAAGCTGATAGAAATGGTCATAAAAACACTGAATCAACTAAACAATAGCTGTTTATCTGGAATCAAACACACAGTTAATACTTCCACATGCTTCCTACAGTTGGAAGGCAAATTTTTGTAGGTAGTGATGAATTTTGGTTGTGTTAAACACAGAAACATTTAAAACAAAAGGAACCTGTGTTTAATTAAAAATTTAAATTAAAAAAGTCATAGGTTTCCAAAAAATAACACTCAAGTAAAGAACAGAACAACAACTGGAAAAATATACTTAGGTACATGTACTTCGTTACTGTCCACCCCAGGTTACTTATGGATGTAATTGTAGTGAAAATAAATAATTTCTCTTTTTGCTGGGGACCCCAAGGAACCCCCTCAAGTACCCCTGGGGATCCCCAGACCCCACTTTGAGAACCACTGTTCTAGGGATAACACTGCTTTTCTGATCCATGCAAGGAAAGAAGAGATGTGGTCTGGTCCTACCCAGTCTTAATCCCTCTGTCAGCTGATCTAAAAGAAAAAGGAGAACATGGGAGGTTCTTGACATCACTATCTCTGGTACACTGATGACTGAAGAAGAAGTTTCCCATGATAAACCTCGTTCGACCTGCTTCAGGGATGGTGTTTTTGTTCAGATGTTCGTCGTCTACATTAGGAGGGAACCATCGCTGGCAATAAGAACGACACAGAGACCACACTGAAGTTAAAAGCATGATTTTATTTCTAAATACACTACAAGTCAAATGGGAAACCAGGAAAATCTCTTTCACCTCTTTTTTTTGTATATTTTAACCCCTGAGCACCACAATCCAGCTTTCCCATAATGCAACTGGATTTATCCAAGATGAACAAAAGGGAAATGAAAGACACATTTAAAGCCTTATACACAGCGAGTAAAGCGGTTAGTGTCTAAAAACTACAGCACAGCCTAAAGCTAAAGTAAACAACATGTTATTAGATTACATCAGTCAGGAGGAGTTGGTCTGCATGCAGAGCTGCTGAGCCCGGGCACAGCTTCCCAAACTCTGTGGTGAGGACAATAAGTCATCTGACCTGTCCAGTGATTGGCATCGTTCAGCTGTATGTACAGGGGGGAGGGGGCGGGGCCGTGGAGGGACAGGTTCTGAGACGGGACTGAGAAGGTCCAGTCCTGAAGAAGCCCTGATCCGGGAGCATCACACTCTGTGTGGCGGTCCTCCAGAACTGGTTCAGACGTTTCAGTCGCCCAGATTTGTAAAAGTTGTTAAAGATACAAAGTCAGGTGGTCAGTGATCTGCTGAGTAACATTTAAGGTGGAAATGACATCAGGCACAAGAAAAGCCTCTCTCATTAAAGTCAGTACAGCAAAACATTTAAAATCATTTGTGATTACGATTTATGAGTTTCTGTTTGTATTGACTGTGATGGACGACACCTCTCTGTAGAAATAAATCCCTTTACGTCTGCTGCTTTCCACCTTAAAAGTCTCCAATCAGATTTCAACATCTGGAGCCTCTGAGTGACTGAAAAGTCCCGATCCTGATCCTGGACCACCATCTATGCTCTGACAGTCCTGGATCGAGGCTATTCTTCAATATAATTCATCATCACAACTGTTAACTGTGACTGGACCTGGGACAGGGTCTCCAGAATCTGGACCTCATGTGAGACCAGGTCTTAAAGTCTACTGGAGCTGTGAAGAAGGAGAAGCAGATCACATCCAGTCTGCTGGTCGAGTTGATGACCCTCTGGACTGATGTTACAGTCATCAGGTTTCATTTTGTCTTGTTGACACTTTACTGTGGCAGATTCATATAAAGACCATAATACTCTCAGCTGCTGTTGCTTCGGAGAAGAAGAAACCAGTCACAGCCAAAATGATCCATATCATTGTTGACCTTACCCCTGCTGAGGGGAGTTGGGGGTGGGGGCATTTTTGTCAATGTCCCCCCAAACTGTTATAAATCACAAACAAAAAGAAGATGAATATGACTTTTCTGAACTTCTCCCACGTCACAGCTCTGTTAAGGTGGAGAAACGTGTTTATGCTTCCGACACAGATTATAATAAAGTTATCTGAGCTCTTCAGATCATGGAGGCCTGTCGGGTCCAGCTCTATGAACACTGAGATGAAGCGACAGTCTCAGAGTGTGTGTGTGTGTGTGTGTGTGTGTGTGAGGGAGTGGTTGATCTGTATCTACCTGCAGAATCGTCTGATTGCTGAAGAGCATTTCAAGTAAACACGAGAATTAAAAAGCACGAACCACCTTCACCAGCTCGACGGGCAGCCGAGGAGTCAGCTCATCTGATTGGCTGAGGATTGTCCTCTGCTGCACGATTGTGTTTGTACAATTTCAACATCACCATGGATACATACAGTCACACAATATATTATCAGTTTTACTGTGTCACCAGTGATCAGCCGGGAGCGCGACACTGTCGTCACAGTGAACTGTGAACCATCTGCATGAGAACTGCTGCACAGTGAGGAAGACAGCTCTTCTTCATCAGTGGTAGAGCCACAAATGTCTGTCCTGAGGGTGGGGTCACACTAAAGGTCATTAACCCCCTCTGGACCCGTCCTGTTGGTCTGTGTTTTAAACCAAACTTTATTTGTAGAAGTAAACCTCCAGCCTCAGACTGATGTCGCCTGACACCGCTGTCCTCAGGCTCCGCCCCTGACAGGACAGAGGACATCAGGTCTGTGGCTCACTGGTGCAACACTCTGTCTTCTTCTCTGTACTCAGGTTTTCATGCAGACTGGATCAACTCTGACCCGACGGTGTCCCACTACAGGCTGCTCTGTTGCGCCGGCACAACACCCAACATAAAAAGCACTTTTTTTGAACATGTTGCTTCATTAATTCTCTAGTATCATCTACTGTTTTTTCTTTTGACTGAAAAGCATCTGTATCCACACAAACACATGGATATGAAACACCATGAATACACTGGCAATTAAGATCGTGAACATGCTCGTTGGCACAGTCTATAACAAATGAGGTAGATGTGTGTCAATAAAATATTCCCTTCTTTGGTATAATCATACAAAAAATGAAAAAGAAAAAAAAAATCCAGTGATCTGTTGAAGTAAAACATTGATTTCAAGTGGCTGTACAATAAAAATAAATGAAATTTATGAGGTATATCTTGTTTTCATACTTTACTATGATTATATACAGGTAGATCGGTGAGGTATCTGCATTCAAGGAGACTCTTAGACAGGGTTTGCAAACAAGTGGTGGAGCTGAATGCAACGTTAGCAGGATCAAATACAAAACTCAATAAATAAAATCTGCTATTAAAAGCTCTTACAGACTCAGTAAAACCCCGTATATCTTCAAACTGTTTATCCTTTCCCTTCACAATAAAGAAAATAGTTTATACCTTTATGAAAGCAGGAATAAAGAGAAATGAAAGAGAAGCAAGTGCATAAATAAAAAAGAAACCTGGATCATATTCACAATATAAAACCACTGACGACGTCTCCTCCTGCTGCTGACAGGCCTCAAGTGCTCTACTCTCCTGTCCTGCATCACAACGGCTTTGTGCTTCTGTTGTCTTACATGAACAGACATCAGTGATACTGTGTGCAGCGTTGTGGCTTCAGCCTCCCGCTGCAGCGGCACCACACTCGGCCTCAGCACAGGTTGTGTAAGTATTTCTGACCGCAACCACAACAGTGGAGCAACAAGGTGGATTACAGTGTTTACCCTAACGAGTGAGGAAAGCACCAGAGCGAGCTCATCATCACAGTCACTGTCTCTCTGCAGTGCAGGGTTTTAACATGTACTCTTCTTATCATCACGAGGAAGATCTCCTCCTCATCATCATCGTCATCTTGACTAACAGGCTTGTTTTTAAAATCATTTATGTTTTAATATTTTGTTACCTCCACGCCACAAATAATTTATTCTATGATCAAAACAACGTGTTCACTTATTCTGTGATCACAGCAAAGAAAAAAAAAACCTTGATAAAGACTAAACTAATGTCGTCTCAGCCGTCCACAGTGGCGAGCTGCTCTACTGGCCATGTTGTAGTGGTTACACAGGAGCAGTGAAGAGCCATGTGCGTCTTTACACATCTGAACACATGTGATTGGTTACTGTGCAGCTTGAACAGATTATTTCAGCTAACGCTAACTCTCATAGCTGTTGATCATACGTCTGATTAGCACGCTAGCATATAAACAACATATAAAAAACAAATGTGTTCCGAATGCACATTATAAACTCATCCTAACTGTGTGAACATGGTGTTTATATATCCCAGAATGCAATGTAACATCTGTGCTGCTGCCAGTTTGTCCCAGTGGTCAACTTTGGTACTGCATTAAAAAAATCCCCATATCCCCACAGACCACTGTTATAAAAGATGTTTTTTTTTTTTGTTTTGTTTTTGGTGTGTGACATCATCTGAAAGTAAAGTTAATGAATAAAAGGCTCCATCCACTTCTTATAATACGACATCCACAGCTGGATGAACAGTGGGTCCATAAGTCTGATACCACACTGTAAATGATGGCTGGAGGTGTGAGTCATAAAATCTTTGGTGAAACTTTCACGTGACTTTCTGCATGTGCACTTCAGTTTTTCAGTTCAATTACCAACTGGACTGAACCGGGAGGTCTCCCAGGGCCCCAAAGACTCTATGGGACCCCAGGTCATCTGTGTGTCAACTACTTTGAGTAATTTGATTAATTATAATCTTTGGTACTGCTGCATCTTTACCCAATTCTGAAGACTGGTCTTGTCTGGACCCTTCTTTAAAATGTAGTCTTAACAGTTGTGGTAGAGTTGTATTATGGTTAGATGGTGCTGGAATTAAATGGACTCACAGGAAACCTGGGGCAGGATAGTGGTCCAGTGTCCTACTAGTTGGTTTCTGGGATTCCGAGCTGACTGGTTTCTGACTGGTTTGGGGGGACATCTGAAGTTAATCTGGCCCTGATAAAACTTTTGGGAGATACTGTTTGTTACTAGAGGACAGAGCTGTGTGTTAGCCTTTTTTATCTAGTTTCATTAGCCTGATTGCTAATTAGCCAGCTAACCAGTTTAGCTAAGCAGCTGCTGATCTCACTGTGTCACGTGTGTGACCTACTTGTTCAGTGGAACACCTGATGTAGCTGAAAGTCTCTGATGCTAAGCTAGCATGTGCTCTGCTTTGTTGTGTTCTTGCTCTGTTCTTCAGGTCTGATGATTGGTGCTGAAGCTCAGTGCTCAGTTAGAGACGTATTTTCTTTGGTATCAGCTGTGAGCAGAGAGTTTACAAACATCTTCGAACCTTCAGCTGATGAGCAACCGTGAATGTGAACAGTCTTAGAGGATGTGAAAGAAAATGGCAACACACAGAGGCTAAATGTCCTGGAAACACACTACTGATTCAGAGCATGAGGAGGGGGTTGGGTGGGGGGAGGGGCAGAAGTATTTAGTCTGTAAATACAAGTTTGCTGCTTTTCAATCTGTTGCTAGGCGACCTACGAGGAATCTGACTGATGGATGGAGGGAAAGCCACCTTCAGGAGCTGCTGGAGTTGGTCTGATGGTCGTGTCTCCAGCTGCTGTGTCTTTGAGGGGAGGATGGAGGTGAGGTGGTGAGGACGGACAAGAAACTCAGGGAGAGGAGTTTCTGTGTCCATCGAGCGAGGAAGAGGAGGAGGACGAGGAGGAGGAGCAGGAGGGCTGGAACTGTGTGGGACTGGTCTTTTCCTGAGTCTGACAGCTGCTGTGTTTCCCACGGTGCCCCGTCATCCCTGCTATGGCCGACTGGCGAGCGAACAGGACGCCTGAGGAGCAAACATCAGGTCTGAGTCAGCTCCACTATCCTAACACCTCACAGGCAGCCATTGTTTCTATTAGACAGAGATCTAAAACTGCAGTAATATAATCCACTCTGTTTGATTTATAGTCTAACTGTACTTAGACTTGTTTGACTGTATGTTCAGACTGAAAGGTCAAGGACTCGACGGGCGCGCTGACGTAGATGAAATAGATGGAATAACAGCTAGCAAGTTTGTTCAGAACGTTTGGTATTGCAAACTTTATTTAAAGGACCTGCAAAGTAAACAGATATGTCAGCCGGTATTTTTGTACCAACTGAACACAAATAGGTTATAAGTTAAGCATGTGAAATCTTTTAAATCAGCAGCGTTAACATTACCAACTGATTAGCATCAAGTTGTTTTGCATGCTATGGCGCTAGTTAGCATGTAAGTCCCTCCTATTTTCAGTTTCCGGTAAACAAACAGGGACATGTAGTAAAGGAGGGAACTCGCCACTGTAGTTATCAGTTTCTCCTTCATTGTACTCTGGAACAAATGTTTGATAGAAACTAAAGTTTACACGTTTGTGTTTTTTAGCGTTCTCTAGAGTGGAGAACTTCTACATTCCAATTGATTGCTGTCGTCCCACGTCACTTTTTCTGACGCCCACACTGCCAACAGGCGTGCTGCTGCTTGTAGCAAAGAGACGCTGGCTCACATAGAAAATGAATAACTTCACTCTGACGTTGTGGTTGCTTTCAGTCTGAATGTACAGTAACAAACAGTATACCCCTCCTGTCACTGCCACTGACAGTATAATATATAATTAGGGCTACATCCATACTTCTACATTTTTATTTTAAAATGCAAATGATCTTTATCTGTACTATCACACCTGAAAACACATATCACATGACCATTCATGTACACTGAGCATGTGCAAACCTGTGTAAACAGGAAGCAGATTGTCTTCTCTGCAGTTGGTTAGTTACAGAAAATAGTCTTAACAACAAAGACAGATGTAGCGTTAAAATACAGAATTTAACTGAACAGCTGCTAGCAAAGACAACGAGGTCAGTAATACTTGTAATTAATTATCATGTTGTATTCACCACTGGTAGTCCAGGCTGATAACAACCAATCAGGGAGTGACCGTTGGTGTCTACGTCATTGTTTCCAAAGGTCTCAGTTTCTGATGTCCAGGTACAACACCCCAGAGTTTTCAAAATAAAATAGGTCCAGGCAGGAGGAAACTAAAACTAAAATGTAGTAGTGTGGACGTAGCACTGAGGGAAACATTATAACAATATATATTTATTTCATATGTTTATTTACTTAATTCCCTCACTCTGTCCAGGTTTACTGCAGCTGCTTCTGTCTCTGCAAAAACATCTGTCTTCTCTGGAAGAGAGATCTCCTCTGAGGAGTCTCTCCTTTTGTCCTGTGTTGTACAGATTGTAAAGACCTTTGAGACAAAGCTGTGTTTATTAAGTAGCACTGACTGACTTGACTCTGGCTTTGTGTAAATAGCTGATCAAAACCTCTGATTCTGCTGCTAAAGCCAAATAAATTGCATAATTTAAGATGTTAAATGTAAAATTCGACCTGCAGATTTATATGGATAATACAGAGGCAGTCATCAGTAACTGTTATATTTCATCTACAGATCTGAACACACAGATTAATGTGATGTCAGTCTGTGTCAGGATGAGTTGGATCAAGTCCACACAAAACACTGAGAGAGCTCAGACACGATGTGACGGCCACCAGGCTTATACCCTGACACAACTGGTCCACGTTAAAGCAGAGAGGCAGTAATTACTGCAATACACAAGCTGCCTCCATTTACACGCGCGCGCACACACACACACACACACACACACACACACACACACACACACACACACACACACACTCTCTAGGCAGGCACATAAGACAATAAGCCCCATCGACCTCAAATCCACAGGCCCAATTTTGAGATATTTAACTTTTTTAACTCTATTGGACTGCCACTTCATTACGATGGATTTTATAGCAAAGACATCAAATTGCGTGGAGGACTAAGCACCAGGGTGCTGCTATAACTTATTGAATTTCCTGCCTGCAATTACATCAGCAAACGGCCCCTCTATTTACCTGTGTAGACAACTCCATTTATTTCTATTGACATGTTGATGCTGCTAATGCCGTTGGTAGACAGGTTCAATGCGGTCTCTTGTCTATCATCTGTCAAGAGAGGAGCAGAGAGAAAAACTCAATATGAGCATTTAGAAAGGGAACAGAAGGAGCAGGAGCAGCGCCCGGTGGAGTATTGGTGATAATTCAGAGAGTGACAGGATAAGGAGAGCTTTATTAAAGAGGTCTGGGCACAGAGAACTGTCAAAAGATGTTACAGCCATTTGTACATGTCAGTTATGGATGAATCCTATCGCAGCACACAGTTGGAGAACTTGGCTGAATAAATGTGACAGAAATGTCTTAAGAACAGAGACCAACAGTACACACACACACACACACACACACTGATATCAAACTGTCTGTAAACACACACTCATATGGGTGGAGACAAATAACAGTGTTTGGATGTAATCTTTAAATGACAGAGCCACAGCCAGACGACCAGTGTGGGAATTAACCTGAGAGAGATTCTCACTCATTTCTCCATCACGTATCAAGTGCAAAGCCTGCTATTATGACTAATATGAGAGAGGCAGTGATGCAGACAGAGATGATATCACACTCCAGCAGATAGGCCCCTCATTCTTCCTTTAGCCTCTATCATTAAGTCACATGTGACTTATGGTGTGTCAGCCTGAGCTGGCTGCAGCCTGTGGTCCGCGGGAACTATTTCTTCATAACATCTGTGGAGCTGAGCTGCAAATTACACATGTGATATGATGAACTATGTGCACATTAGTGGTTCAGGCTGTCTGCAGGAGCCATTAGCTGCTCTTGACACAGGGCCCGCCTCACACTGTCATCTTGGTCTCATTACATCTGACTCCTGATTGTAAAAGATTCACATTCACATCACACCCACACATGTGGAGTGTTCCAACAAATACTGATGTTAGATGAAAGTATGTAAGAGCAGCAGTAAAAGTTTATAATTCTACATTTCAACTAATCCCATGCAAGGACCAAACCCACAGCGACTCTGTCCGTCTCTGACCTCCCTCCTCAGACTTTCTTCTTTAAACCTCATCACAGACATTCATCAGCTGTGTCCCAGTTCAGGGGCCGAATCCTCCAGAGGCTGGGGCAGCGACGAGACTGTCCCATTTCGAAGTCTCCTTGAAAAGTGTCCTTCTTTTCCAACAGGTGGATCCTTCATGGCCCAACCTATCCCAAGATTCTTTGCACGCCAGTATTGACAATAATATGGCAGCAAACAGCACTGACAGAGAGCATGGGGATTACACTATTAAATGTAAGTATTAGGTTTCAGCTCAGTTCAACAGCTAACGGTACAACTGTTAAAACCAAGGACCTTAAAACCTCAAGTTTCTGTGAAAAAAAAGTTTTGTGTTGTACAATAGTAAGGGTGGGCACAGCTGGTTGCACAAAACGGAAATCCTCCTTCAAAGGATGCGAGGAAAGGACGCATTTCTGTTCAGCCTTCAAAGAGAGAGGAAAGGACACATTTTGGTTAAGCTTTCAGACGATGCTAGGAAAGGACGCGTTTTGGTTAGCCTTCAAAGGGCTTGGTCTAGGATGGCTATGAGGGCTATCCTCCTTAGGAAGCAGCCCCTGAATTGGGACAGAGCTGTTGTGTGTGTTCGTGATGGAGCGGGAGGGAAAGGTAAGTCTACCACACCCACTCTGTAATTACAGCTGAGCACACAGGTCCGGTCCTCTGTGCTGTTTCTGTGAATCCTGAAGAAGTTTATATTCCACAAACAAACACAAATAAATTAAGAAACAAACTTTTTCTCATTTCTTTGGTCTTGAGCTAATGACTCAGTATTTCTAAAATCCTATCAACATCCTACTGAAGATTAAAAAAGATAAAGCCTCAGTCAGTGTGTGTCTCACCTCTGTTGTTGAGCTTGATGTTGAGGGGCAGCTGGGTGGCCATGGCCAGCAGGTTCTGCTGCAGGGCGTGCTGCATGATCCGCTGCTGCTCCTCTGCCACCATCATCATCTTCTTCTCTGGTGGTTCGCCGCTCTCCAGCTTCTCTCTGAGCTGCTCCAGAGCTGCTGCCTGCACGGCCGCCGCCGCTTGAGCTGCAGCCGCTGCCTGAGCTGCTGCTGCTGCCTGGGCAGCCACGGCCGCCGCGTGGTGGCTGCTAGGCGACATGGGGAGGGCCATCCGGCTGGGCAGGCAGCTGGACATCATAGGCTCCTCTGGAAAGAGGAAGACTATTAGACACACATCTGTAGCTGATACATGTTATATTTTCTGTCTGCTCTCAGTGGTGCTGTAAAAAACATACAAAAACCCCCATCATGAAAGATATTCACAGGAAATCCACTGAAATCTATTCTGAATCTCCTTCATGATACATGTCACAGTATTTTTTCCTCAGAATGCTGGTGACACAGAGGTGCTCTGTTACAGTTGGTCTAGATCTATCTATCTATCTATCTATCCTATCTATCTATCTATCTATCTATCTATCTATCTATCAAACCATTTGAATGCTCCATCATGACTGGACCAAAACGGTCACGTGACACACACACAGGTGGACGACAATAAAACAGATGTAACGTTCAGTTTCTGAAGTCTCTTCATTATATCATGTGGATATATGGTAGAGGTCGCCTGTCCATAATCACACTACTTCTCTCTTATGTGTTGCACCTGTCCAGCTACAGACTTCATTTCTAGCAGTGTTGTGGATTCTTTTAGAATTTGTGGATAATATTTAGTGAACCTTTGGACCCAGAGACAAACTGGGGAATATTAGTTGACATCTGAATTAATTGCCCCCTGTCAACCTGCACCTGATTCCTATGTCAAAATGTGATCCCAAAGGAGGCGGAGCTTCTGCTGTCAGGGCACCATGACTCTGGAACAACCTGCCTGATGAATTTGGACTCATTAAATCAGTGTCATCTTTTTAAAAGACATTTCTTTCACAAACTTTTTGAATAATCTCTTTTAAATATCTCACATATTTGTGCATTGCTTATTTATTTATTTATTTATCTTTTATTGTTTTTATTGAGCAATTTGTCTACTTGCTTGTTTTATTATTTCATCCTGTTGAAGCACTTTGTAATCTCTGATTTTTATAAGTGCTTTATAAATAAACTTTATCATTATATTATTATTATAATAATTTTTTTGTACGATGGAAAACAGATTAATAAAACATTTTTGCTTTACAGGAGGAGTCAGTTTGAGCTTTGTGTCCCTACAGACTTATTTATTAGAGAGCTGCCACACTTTGTGAACATGTATATAATACTGTCTTCTGGCTCACTTTGGGCCCTATAACAGACGCCTGGGACTGATGATGTCCCCTCAGTGACTCGGGCTGGGCCCAGAGGATGCTGGGAGATGCCACACTGGATGTTATTTCATGTTGTGACCTTGCAGAGAAACGACACTAAAATAACTGTGATGTGTTGGAGTCACGCTACCCAGTCAGTCAGCTGCTCTCTCCTTGAAGACCTGCCATCAAAGAGCTGCCAGACTCTCTGTGGTGCATTAGAGTGTCTTGGAAATCAGCGGTGCTGATATGAGGAAGTCCTGCAAGATGTTTCCTCTTTTGGGGGGGGATGACCACACCGCCCGCAAGTTACATGAGTATGAATGGATGGAAACGGTGCAGCGATTGTGAAATCAATTTGTGACATGCAAACACGATGACTTCTCCTTACGTGGCTCAGTGATCGTGCAACAGTTTCTCAAAGAGATGTTGTGATCTGTGTAATACATCATGTGCAATCTCTGCTTCGACAAAGTGTCCATGAAGGAGGAAATGAATCATCCTCCAGAGTGACAGAAAAAGAATCAGTTTATTTAGGATGTGTTCTGCTAAAGGCTCCATTCCTCTTATTACCCTCCTTCAACATGCACCAGGTTTCATCAGAACAGCTGCAGGATCCTGGTCCAGGCTTACGCTCGTGAACAGGGACAGTTGAGTCCCAGGTTCCACCGAAAGTATCCAGGTGTGATATATAAGATATGTTATCTTCCAATCACAGTTTAGGCATCATCAATAACACTGATCACTTCCTGCAGATGTTCTCCATTAAAAGCACTCACAGGAAAAGAAGGTTTTATATTCAAGCTTATGATAGTTTTGGATTTTTTCAGTGGTTTTTGTTTTTATTTTGTTTTGACTTTGTGTTTTAAATATCAGTTTAGTTTTAATGAGTTTTTAGAGCAGGTTTGTAGTTCAGTTTTTTGTGTGTGAAAATGCTCGGTTTAAGTTTAGTTTTTATTAGTTTCCGTGTTAGTTTGAGTTTTTTTTGTAATACAGGGCATTTGTCATCAACAAATTGGACTGTCCAGCACCAGTTATAGGAGCTGCAGCTCTGTGGCTCATCACTGCAGTTAATCAACAATAACATACTTGGCATCATTTATTATTATTTAGTGAATGTTTTGCTGTGAGATACTGCTCCATCTGACACAGTTAAAAACTGAAGATAGATGTCATATCCTTATTTTGTCAAGTCTTGTCTTGTCTGTTAAATATTGTGTTAAATATTGTGTGTTAAATGTTGTGTGTTAGATCTTGTGTGTTAAATGTTGTGTGTTAGATCTTGTGTGTTAAATGTTGTGTGTTAGATCTTGTGTGTTAAATGTTGTGTGTTAGATCTTGCTCATCTTCGTGTTGTCGTACCTTTCTTGATCACAGGCACCTGGGAGATATGGCCGCTGTTGTGAGTGAGCGTAGGCAGGTGGGACATCTGGATCTTTGGTGAGGACAGGAGGGTGGGGGTGCCCACGGGAGAGTAGCTGAAGATGGCAGAGCCGTAGCTCTGCCGACGGCCTTCCCGCCGGTTGCTGTCGATAGCTGCCTGGAGCTCGCCGGGGGAGCTCAGTCCTCGCTTTTCACATTCATACGGGTAGAGGTACTTCATATACCTGCAGGGGAGAGGAAGTCATTCACTTGGCTTTTTGTTCCTCAGTCACTTTGTACCATGTCATCAATCAATCATTAATCAGTCGATTTTTGCAGGGTAGGAGCAGGACTGAGGAAACAGAATGATCTGAAAACGAAACAACGACCTTCAAACTATGTTTCTCTTCCTCTTTAAGTGTTGACTTTACAAATGATAATGAGAGTTTTCCTCTGTGCAGCAGCTTATTACGAGTATCGTTAGGCGTCCTCAAGTGAAGACTGGAGCAGAGGAGTGAGTCATGTGACGTAGTATTCAGGGCGGTGGAGGTCAGGTTGGATGAACTGATGAACCTTAACTACGTGTTTATTATTGTTAACCTGACGACAGAGGCCAGTCATCCAACCTTAACAAAGTACTTATTCTAACTCAAACCCCTGACATTGACACGGGCCAATCCTGGTACAGAGCTGGTTTTCTGGCTCCACCCCTGATCCACAACGATTTTCATTCTGCGGACTGTGAAGTACAAATGACCCCGCCCACTCCTCAGTGTACACCGCGTGTACATAAATGACATGAACTGTCACATGGTGATGAAGCTCAAACCCTGGATCACTACAGTAAACTGAACACTAATGTCTCAGTATTCTTCTTGACAGAGGTCTGTGATCTACTGAGAACATTTTCTTCTGTCTTTTTCTTTTTTTTTAATTCTTTTCTTATTGTATTACTTCATGATCCATTTAAAACCTTCTATGAGACTCGGTTGCAAACAGAAATAATGAATCCAATAAGTCAAAATAGATCATTCGGAAACAATTTTGAACCAGTGAAGTAAATCAACCCAAGAAGAAGAAAAAAGATCATATTTTAATAACAGCAGAGACCAAAAAAAAAAAAGTACACTAACAACAAAGCATCTCACTCATGTTGGACACACCACACCATCGTACCGAGACACCTGTCCTGGTGTTAGAGAGCAGCTATCAGTCATCTGTGTTGTACTCACTGTGTTCGGAGAGTGAAAGCTGCACTGGTAATGGAGGTAGGGAGGTTAAGGCCTTTGGTGATCTCACGCCATATTTTCTTATTGATGACTTCCACTAAGCCGCCTTTTTCTGTGACGAGCTTGTAGAGCATGTAGAGATCCAACACCTGCTTGGCCATGATAGGAATCCGATTCACTGGAGTCCCTGCAGAAAGCAAACAATATCCACAATCAATTCCATTAACTTTGGTTCCTCTCATCAATAGACTGCTGCACCTCCTCATAAGGCCAATTTATCTGGGGCCAGTCAAATGTCTGACAGCTCTGTTAACAGCAGGAAATATAAGTTTCAGAAAGAAGTTTCTAATGCCTCAGCTGCAGCGGCCGCTTGACGCTGCTCCGTTCATTATAAAAGGTTTTATTTCAATGTAGGGACAAAACACTTGAATCTCATGTGAGTCTGACAGCTGCTCCTCCTAAACAAAGATTAACAGGCATGAAAAAGAAAAAGTCAGTCATGAACAGCAGCGCTACAGATAAATTAGTCTTGACTTGTTTAAAACTTCACTAATACACTGTGTGGAGAATGAGAGGTCATCCTCTATTAATGACTGCCAGCCCACTCCCTGATTAGCAAAATAAAGGGTCTCAGATAATAATTTGTATTTGCAATTTAATGTGAGGCAATAAAGAGAGAACGGCCGGCTCTTTGTGAGGATTGCAAAGTGGTTGACCCTGAGATAATTAACCTGCATTTTGCTGATAGAGTTCCATTGTGCCCATCGGATTTACCATAATAGCGATCAATACCTGCAGAAATATAGTGCAAACAACAGCAGCGGGGCCTATACAGCGCGGGGGGAGCAGGGCTCTGAAGTATCGTCTGAGGTGGTAAAACCACATCAATTAAGGGCAGTAATTACGGCTTCATTTTGTGGTGCTGGCATGTGAACGAATGAGACACTATTAAAACAAAGGATTGATGTTCCCCTCTGCTCACAAGACAAACAGCAGCAGTAAGTCTGAGGCCGCGCCGCTCGACGTCGCTCTGAGGAGCAGAATCTGCAGCAGAGGCTGGATTCAGACTGAAAAATGACCTGAGCGGGAGCGACTGGCAGGAGGTGTGTGAGCTGGGCTGAAGGAATAACACAGGACAAATGAGAAAGTTCAGCTTAAAATAACTGTAGTTTTATTTGTCAGTGTGTGTTGGAGTAAATGTTCCGTTAAAGAAAAGTCAATTTTAAAAGAGGAACTGTAACACTGGTTATATACAAGGAGTCCTCACTGCTGATTTTTAAAAACTCACTCATCTGACCTGGACAGAGGAAGACCATGCAGCACCTTCATCACAATACACAGCTGAATGAAGTTATGAAGACATCCTACAATGAAGCTGCTGAAAACTTCCCAGCAGGGCTGATCACTCCCTGGTGTAACAACATCTGGACCACAGAGCCAGATTATGAAGCACTACACCGCACGTGCAGTGGCCTGTCCGTGAACTCAAAGACTCAGACTCAGAGAAGTCTGGGGAACCCACACATCACCTTAAAGGGGTAGTTCGGATTCTTTGGTGTGGGGTTGTGTGAGGTAGTCATGCAAAGTCAGCGTGTTACCTGCGGTAGATTCAGATCGGCGCGCTGCCGGTTACGAGAGGCGGCCGGGAGCACCGGCACAATGGCTGACAGATGTGTGTTGCTGTGCATGGGGCCAGCAGAAAAAAAAAACACAGACACTTTTAAAAGACACGCACCGAAACAATCCAATATCCCATCAAATGTACGCTTCATGTACATCATGTAGAATATTTTCAGCGCGATATTTTCCCATCAAACATCTTCCAACGTTAAATGTACCGTGATGAAAGAAGCTCTCTACCTGACCAAAGTTCAACTGGCACCAAGTAAGAAAGCTGTTACCAGAAACTGGTTCAATGTAAATGCTCCAGACCAGGAAGAGAGGTTGGAAATTGTCCAAGACATTTTCATCATGAAAAGCTGACATATCTTTTGAGAGTCAGAGAGAATACGTTTAAAAAGAACTGGGGAAATTGGTCAATTTATATGAGACAAAACACAGACTAAATGAATGCCTAATTAAAATAGTTATATGAATATTGGAATATTTCCAGACAACTCCAATGTTATTTTGTGTTTTATTTTGTATTTGGTTGTGTATACTGTATGTGTTATTCTGTTTCGTTCTTGATCTGCTGTTCTGTCTATATTCTTGTGAAAACAAGACTAGCCCCACTGTCACAGCTGGTAATGAGTGTCATCTTTAACATGATTTACTCTGACATTTAACCGTTTAACCAAACTTAACCAGATCACTTTACGGTAACCTGAACTTCAGACTGAACCAATCCTTAACTAAAAACTACTGGTATAAACTGATTAAAACAGGTCTGTTGTGGTGTACAAGTGAGACAATGACAACGCACACTTTTCACATTTTATGAGAAAAAACATTTGGCGGATATATACAGTGTATATACTGTATATATACAGTATATATATGGTTAATGTGTGAGAGAGCTGATCTCTACAGTAAAACAAAAAAACAAGCAGCAGCAGCTTCTTCACCTCCACTCCCTCCCTACAGCTTATCTTTATTACCACAGATTATAATGTGTATGTGTGCTGATCTATAAAACTATTATTATGTTGAAGACACAATAGCCAACCAAACAAGGATTGAGGTAATAAATAAAAGTCTGAGCCTTTGTCTGACAGAATCTGAGCAGAGACAAGCCTCTTAAAACAAGATTTATGTGGGTTCAATACTTAGGGTGATGTATTTGTCTCTGTGATTCCCTGAAAGAGATATCAGGAATAAAAGAGTGAGGATGGACCTTTTGTCAGCACAAACTATCTAATCAGGCCATGTATCATTATGACAATGAGTAATGGAGGACAAGGTGGAAGAAATCCACTTTGCACAGTGGCTTTCAGTGGTAACAGTCGTACTCAGTTCATCCCTCAGCCGCTGAGAGAGGAGGAGGTTGTAATTGGAACAATGTGGAGCATCGGGGGCTCTAGTAGCGCAGTAATCATCTCTATGCTTGGCTTCATCGCTGACGTGTTCACTTTGCTCTTAGCCGATAATGGGATGAGAATTTCTCCTCCTCATTGACTTTGCTCTTTTAACCCATGAAATGAACGATTAATGCAGCATCACAGGGGAAACCGACTGTTTATCTGCTTCTGTTCAATGAAGATGAGGAGGAGAAGGAAGAGTAGGGTGGCAAGCATCACCACGACGTGAAGAGCCAGGGGCCAGGACAGGATGTTTTAGGGACTCAAGTGCCCCCAAATCATAAAGTAAATGTCTGGTGATGATCTTTATTTTTCTTTCCGTCTACAAGTCCCATGAAAAGACCCAGACCAGTTACAAACTGGACTCAGGATGATCATATTTTGAGAAAAGAGGTTGGTTTTATTCTGAAGGAATAAAAGAAACAAACAACAACTTGGTTGGTCTTCAGTGGGTTTACTGACACTCAGGGTGTAACTGCCAACTCATCTGGCTTAGACAAAGTGCGTATATCAAAATCACAGTAGGCTATCCAAAAATAATAAAGCATTATCTAAATAACTCCATTTAAAAGCATTAAACTTAAAATCAGTTTATATAATAAAGTATGAGGAATTATTGAGCCTAATACCAAAAAGTCTTAAAACACATTCTCTGTTGTACAATTCTTAGAACTAGCATATTTTAAAGAAAACAATAAATTTACCCAAAGATTCCAATATATAAGAATTACAAATTAAAATGATTATTTTCTATAGGTTTTCTAACTGCTAAAATCATGCTTCCTGTGCTAAAAACAATGTTCCTTATCCGTACTTACAGTGTAGCTTGATCCAAGTGATCCAAGCATTTATCAGCGGGTTTAGCTAGATCCTCCGAACAACAATAGCCATATTTTAAGAAAATCCACCACAACCACCGACTATCACAGTCCTTACCTTCTTGGTTAATGTGCTGTCACAGGTTAGATTATACAGATTAGAAAAAAATCTGTTAAACTGCTGAGGAACTATGTTGGCGTTATAGTGTCACTGGCTTCCAAAACATGACGTTACCTAACGTTATAGTTCCCTCAAGTGTACCCCACAATATAACAAAGCACAATACAACAAAGTAAACAAATCACCTATAAAGAGTACACTACTAGTGGCCTCACTGATACTCATGGTGTAACTGAAGAACAAAGTTGCTATTGGTGTGTTACTGCTAAATCAAAAATGCAATGAATTGAATGGGGGTAATAAGGGTTCCTGCTTGAGTAACGTTTGTTAGAAGCTACAGTCTTCAGCTGTTTTTTAAAATATATCTGTGAGGCCTTTTTAAAGGTTCTCCAGTTGGAACCAATGAGCTTGGAGGTGAGAAGTCAGACAGTATTTAGAGACGGACTAACACACTGCTGGTTTGGGTCTTTTCATTGGATTAGTTAGCAGCAGGAGAACAGTACAACAGTTCCTGACTTAGAAGAAGAAGAAGAAGAGTGTAGAGGAACAGCAGCTGCTCTGTGAGGCCAACATTAAAAAGATTATTGTTCCAGAGGGAAATCTGACTTGGACACAGAATGTTGCTGCTGCACAGAACCACAGATCATACATGTCATATACTGAGATAAAAGTAGTTGTACAATAAATGACTCAGGATAAACTGTCAGATGAATTAAAGTCGAGAGTTAGTGCTTTTAGTTATGTGAATGTAAAATGACTGTGTTTAGGCGGCTATAATGTTTAACTGTAAACCATCTTACTCTGTGCGTTAGGATGCTAACATTTGCTAACTAGTAACAGTTGAAGCTGATGGGAATGTTATTACTGTTGCAGTCTTGTATTCAAATATTCTGTTCAACACATTTCTAATGTCACAAAACATCAAAGGTTCTATAAGTAAGAATGTGAAGTGATTTACATGTATTGATCACTTTTTTATTCCCAATATGTGTACATTTTTGTCAAATAATCCTCTGATGTCTCAAAAAAGACTAAACTGTCAGGTGCTGTCTTCAATTAAAACTAGACTAAAATATTGATAAAACTCCTTACAAAATCCTGGTGGATTGTCCCTCTCTGTGTGCCTGTCAGTCAGGGTGTACATGAGAGTGTGCTGTATGCGTGTTACAGGGAATCAATCCAGGTGTCATATGATCAACATCATCATACTACCAATACCACCACCATT